TTTGCTAATTGTTAAAAGTATTAATAATCAACTCATACATGTTATATCTGATACCCTTTATTAACAAATATTGCCAAGTATCAATAAACAAGGGGACCATCTCTGAGATAGCACAGATTTTTTTGGTCTTTCCATTTCTCCTCAGATTGACACTATTTTTTGGCAAGACATGTGAGATATTCTTGTACATCCTCTGGTACCCCAAGGCATACAAAGGGGGGAAAGCTATATGAGATGACGAAAAGTGTGAGTGGAAAGTATGAGAGGGGGGGGGAGAGAAATCTTTCTTCAATGTTTTTATTAATTTTTCTGTTGGCCTGTTAGACCTCTATATAACAAGTTAAAGCTTAGGCTTTTTATTGCATAGTTGGTTTGAAAATTATAAAAATAACAATCCTAATACCTCCAATAAAAAAAAATATTAGATCAGTGTGATAAAAAAAAAGCTTGCTTCAAACAGCTCATTTGTGTGGTTATATGGATGCTTTGCTTGAATAGATGTATACATGTGTAAAGATTGTGTGTACACACACACACACACACACACACACACACACACACACACACACACACACACACACACACACACACATATATGTGCGTGTGTGTGTGTGTGTGTGTGCGTGTGTGTGCGTGTGCGTGTGTGTGTGTAGTGTGTGTGTGTGTAATTATACATATGTATACATGAGTGCTCTATCTATAGGCTATCTAAGAAAAGCACAGAGCTCAGGTGGTAAAATAACATTAACTACCAAGTGGATAGGATAGGGGTTACTATTATTGCACTTTCACAGGACATAATATTCATGAAAGTATTTTTTTGACTGATAGCTGTTCAGAAGTAGCCATAGCTCAGTTTTCAGACCCCTAGCCTAAAATCACTGGATGGTAACCTTGGATTAAGTAAACCATGTTTTTCTCTTTTGACCGCATATTATTTTCTATTTCATATAAACACCCACCTGGTTTAACTGTAGTAGCAATTGCATCTATTTCCTCCAGTGAGATGCCTGATCTCTTCAAGCAAGTGTCGACAACCTCTTCAATGTTCTCTGCATGCAAACGACAGGCTACTGGAGGAATAATTCCACCATGCCTTTCAATATAAGAGTACTTCTCAGTATCTTTTATTATTTGACAAAAATATTCCCCTACTATCATAGTTATTATTAACTAAACAAATTTGAACCCCTTAGTGTGGCACATATGCTGATAAAACACGCAATGCTGTACATGTATTATGATAAATCCAAAGGTTCTGCAAATGCCCATCTGCACTATATATCATATAAGAATGAGGTAAAGTCAAAGTATACTCTTCAATCAGCATTTATTTCATAACAACAGGCCTAATCTACCTCTTAACTGTATATCAGAATACTTACATTAAATGTATTTTCTGCTGAGTGTTTAATGCTTCACCAAGCACTGCTCCTTGATCATCAACTACAGATGCACCTGTATCATCACAGCTTGTCTCAATGCCCAATACCAGCTGAGGGAAATAAAAAACTTCAGAACCAAATAAACCAACTTATATATTCAACTCATAAAGACATTAAAAGATGAAGATAAACATGAAAAGGTGAGCTATGTTTCTGAGTTAAGGAAAACACAATTATATTCAAAACTCATCTATTTACAAAATATTTTCATAAATGCAATTTCACACCATTTCTAGGGTATTTTGTTGGAGAAGATGGATAAGATGTTTTGAGTGATTGGAATCCCTACTTTAGTATCTGAGACAAGTTGTCCATCTCATCCATCTTGCCCTCCTTAACAGTGAGCAGGAAGAAGTGACATCACAATAGTATTGGTATGACTGTTGCAGACAAATGTAAGATATCAGTATGTAATTTCAAGGTCCTTTATTGTTAGGATCTAAAGGAATTTTTGCACTGTCAGTCACAGGTAACTTACCTATGACTTACAAAACCTATGCAGTGTGTAAAATAAAATAATGAATATACACATATGGGCTTTTTATATTGTGGGCAATGAAAGCCTCGGGGGTTCTGAACACAGCCTTACTATCCTGCCGGTCATGACAAATTGTCTGACGAACAAGACAAGGCGTTCCAAATGCATCATGAGAGCACAAACGAAACATGCCTTTAAAAAATTACCGCAGCTGCAGTTACGTGGCATCAGTGTTTAGCGTTTATGTCACAACCTATGACAGTTTCCCACGGAAGTCGGTAATCTGGCGACAGTCTCCTCGTATCGGAATAATATTAACAAAGGTAAGAAAGCAACCCACCTGACGTTTCCTTAATGCTGATGTATAATTACGCGATTCTAAGGAAAATCCATCATATCTCACAGTACTTCTCCTCTTATAAAATACATTGACAGGTTGAATAAAGCCATCGTTACATTTACTAAGTATACAGAAATGCTCATGCTTTTGAGAATATTGAAAACAAGCTTTAAGTAAGGTACTATGACCAAAATATCTGTGAAAACTTCGTAACTTTGTCCAAGTGAGGGCGGCCATCTTGTTTGTTTACATGAAGTCAGGGACCATGAGTATATCTACAAGGGATGCTAAGGATAAAGGTAAAAGATACTAAAGATAAGAGTAAAAGTACTAAAGATAAAAAGATACTAAAGATAAGAGTAAAAGATACTAAGGATAAAAGTAAAAGTATTAAAGATAAAAGTAAAAGATACTAAAGAAAAAAAATTAAAGATACTAAAGATAAAAGTAAAAGATACTAAAGATAAAGGTAAAAGATACTAAAGATAAAAGCAAAAGATACTAAAGATAAAAGTAAAAGTACTAAAGATAAAAAGATACTAAAGATAAGAGTAAAAGATACTAAAGATAAGAGTAAAAGTACTAAAGATAAAAGTAAAAGATACTAAAGATAAAAGTAAAAGTACTAAAGATAAAAAGATACTAAAGATAAGAGTAAAAGATACTAAAGAAAAAATTTAAAGATACTAAAGATAAAAGTAAAAGATACTAAAGATAAAAGTAAAAGATACTAAAGATAAAAGTAAAAGATACTAAAGATAAAGGTAAAAGATACTAAAGATAAAGGTAAAAGATACTAAAGATAAAAGCAAAAGATACTAAAGATAAAAGTAAAAGATACTAAAGATAAAAGTAAAAGATACTAAAGATAAAAGTAAAAGATACTAAAGATAAAAGTAAAAGATACTAAAGATAAAAGTAAAAGACACTAAAGAGAAGAGTAAAGAATACTAAATATTGATAATAGTCATGATAGCAACAACTAGAAATAACAATGCCAATACTGTTAATACTGATGATAATGATAGTAAAAATGATAATAATGCTAAAAAAAACCATAATGATAATAATGATAATAATAATAGTCATATTAATAATGATAATGATAATGATAATAAAAAGTATTATAACAATAATGATAATAATAATAATGATAATAATAATAATAATAATAATAATAATAATAATAATAATAATAATAATAATAATAATAATAATAATAATGATAATAATAATAATAATAATAATAATAATAATAATAATAATAATAATAATAATAATAATAATAATAATAATAATAATAATAATAATAATAATAATGATAATGATAATAATAACAATAGTAATAGTAATAATGATAATGATAATAATAATGAAAAAATAATAATGACTGTAACAATAATGATAATGATAATAATAAGAGGATTAAATATATGTAAGAAAAAAAGCAACTTTTATCAGCAGGATCCCTATTGTTTTTCAATTCAGTCTCTCGAGAGGAAAAGGTGAAGAACACATTTGTTTTCTGTTTACTAGCTAATTTGTGTATTATATTTCCTTTGGTGAGAGCTAGATTTTCTGAAATATATTTTGCTTTTATATAAATACACTAACAGTGCCGTGTCAAGTTGTGTAAAGATGTAATAAAGGAGTAAAGTTGATCTCGTGTCAAGTTTGCTTCTAAAAAATTTCAAGTTACATTAGACGCTGACTTTTTAGGGTTGACTTTTTTTATTTTATTTTATTGACCTCGTGATAGGCCTATGGGGAATAGATGAAATAAACACAGAACAAAAATAATGAAGTGACTATTTATTACCTCTCATCCCGACCAGAAACCCCCCCCATAGTCATTTTTCTCAATGCTTTATTTATTAACTGATTTCGACGATTTTGGTTTTTAATTGTCTTTAGTTTTTGATGTTTTAATGTTTTTTTGTTTTTTTTTATTTTTCCTCTTGACCTCTAGTACACATTTATGTAGGAATTATGCTGCGGAACCTCCCCAAACCCTGACGTTCGTGATCCAATAGCAGGGGAGGGCATGGAAGGGACCAGGGAAATTTTATGATAATAATAGAAAATAATATAATAATAATATAATAATAGAAAATAATAATGATAATAATATAGAAAGAATCAGGCTGCGTCCCTGTGTGTCCCTGTGTGTCCCTATATGGTCACATAAAACTTCTTGGAAATATCTTATACAACGTTGATTTAATTGAGTGTGTATATTTTTAGATACTAATATTGCAAGCTTTGGTTTCAGATCGACTCTTATTTTAATTCCTCTCAAATATTGCAGGTTCTCCCTAAGCAATGGAAGTAAACATCGCCCCGGCACTGAGTGTGAATACACGAACGCAGGTTTTAGCTCTCGAGTTCTCTCCGTACGAATGGTCGAGGGGCTTGCTGGCCGTGGCTCTTCCCACGTCTGTGGCGGTTTATTCCATTAAGTTCAAGGTCTGAGATGTTTTTTTGCTTCTTTTAGTTTGGTAGTTTTTCATGATTTTAGTATATTAGAAAAATAATTACCTTATTAAGTTTGTACTCTGTGAAGACAAGAGTTGATGTTTATTTTTTTTTTCCTTGAATGTTTTATATATTTAGGATGTATTTATATTTATTATATTTATTTACAGTGTTGATAGTATATATTTCTATTATTTGTTGAAATCTGTAGTTTGATATATGTTTAGGAAGAAATATATATGTATATGTATACGTATACAATTGAATATGCATGTGTGTGTGTGATATAAAGTAAAACAATTATGGTAGCATTTTATATGCTGGAAAAATCCTAAAGATAAGTTTCTTACCTTAGGAAGAGGGAGATGGTACTAGTGAAGAGTGTGGCCAGGTATGGGAGTGGCATGTTTCCAGCCAGCCAGTTTGTCTTGCTTGGAGTCCAAATGCTACATTAAAAGCTGCTCCTCGATGCTTGCAAGTGACTTTGGGGTCAACAGATCATAAGGTTACTCAGCTCACATCTGACCTTGGTGATTCCCATACAGCACAGGTACAGTGTAATAATAAATGCTAGTTTTGTAAATATATGTTTGACATGTACTAGAAACTTTGCAATTTAGAATTGAGATTAAGATTAAGATATATTACATAATTAGTTATATTGAATAGATAATTCATGAAATAAATTTCCATTGTGCATGTCATTTGGTGATTGCAGATGTTAATGCCTGTTGAGTTTCTTGTAAGGGTAAGAATTTTCTCTGGGTTTGAGTTTATCATACCAAAAGATCATCCTTGAGAATAGTGTAAATTTGTGCAAATAATTTGTGGATTTGATGAGACTTTTTGTTTTGTTTTTTGGACACAAATTCAATTTTAGACATTCTAACCTAATAATGACCAGAATTTTAAGGTAAAGTTTGGTGAGGATGGGAGTCAAATAGTGCATGCAGTTCCATGCAAGTGCAGTTGTCTCGCATAGGGAAATACATATGAGATTATATCCTGGTCATAAGGACAGAGACTCATGATGTGGTAAGACGTCACCTGTTTGTGATTATTTGCGATGATATGATATCACATCAACTGTCACTGATAGGTTAAGTAAAGTGAATTTAGCTACCCCAGTCTTACTAAGCCCATTCTTTGGTTTTATTTTTGAGGGGGTTGGTTCCATAAAAGTTACACTAATTCCCAGGGTTCTGTTGAAAACTGTTTTTTGCACTGTACTTAGATTTAGGGGATTATTTTTTTCTCAGAAATATAATAAAAAAAGGCTTACAAAAATGTCTAAAAAGATTGATTGATTTATAAAAAAAACAATGCTGCATTTACCCCATTTACCTTTCTAGTACAAAACCTGGGTTGACCTAGGTTTGAACTAGGGGATCCTTGTTTTTTATTATTATTATTACTATAACTCCAAAATATTGATCCACTAAAAAAAACCCTCTGATGTCCCATACATGCATAAATAAAGGAGTATGAGCTTGACCACCATAGCTGTAAAAAAAAGAGCCCATATAATGCAAAAATCAGCTTCTGAGAGTTCTGAGGTGGTATTCACAAAAGGTCGTAGACTCCGAAATTTGTCAGACAAAAAAAGTAATGATTTTCCCCATTGTTGGTAATAGAATACACGTTTATCTTGTAATAAACCCTGTTTTAATAATCTATTGTAATAAGATGATAATGTAAATGTGGTAATAAATCTTGCCTATGTCATATTTTAAAAATAGAATACAACAATAAAAATGTAGGAGATGACTCAGTTAACAGTTGATAATTTGTCAGAATAGACCTCAAAGGTTTTCCAAAGCTTTTTCAATGTGTAAAATTGCACTTTAGTTTTAAAGACAGTTCTTGCACATGTGGGATGCTTCCATGTCTGTCTTAAACCTTTGGTCTAGCCTGAGACAAAAACTGCCCGTCCAAGACATTTTCATAGGGAGTCATAGACAAATTTGCCAAGTCAAGGACATGTAAAAAAAAATCAAGGTGTCACTTTTGGAAAGGATCTTTTGTATCATTTAATTGTCTTAAATGTTATTGTTAGTAACAATTTAATACTCATAACATCAATAACAATAATAACTATCACATTTTCATGTTTTCCCGCCAATTCAAGGAATGGGGAAATCAGTATTGGTCACTAGGGCGACTGATAGACTCCTTGCTGGCTGAGCACATGTGGAGCCATCTGTATGTAACAGCATTCACAAAAAACTACAGGGGACAGAATATAAATCTGGGGCAGTTGGGTTAACATATTACTGGAATCAGTTATCTTCATAGAGTTTGTAGAATGTAAATATTTATTCAATCACCAGCATTAAATTTGAGATGTCACAATGGGACAAATCATAGACTTTTTTTTTTTTTTTCCTTTAAGACAAATTTTGGTCTAAGACCTTTTGTGAATATTGCCCTTGGTCCCTCATCCCTCCCTGGGGCTTTGACCTTGGACAAATTTCTTTCAAGACTTTCTTTCTCATCCCTGTATTTTATTTTTCAGGATATATTAAGTCACACTGATTTTGTTAACAGTGTAACATATAATGGAGACAGTGGTAACCTGGTAGCTTCTGTTGGTGATGATCTCACAGCCCGAGTATGGGACAGCAGTTTACAGTCCCAGGTTGCAAAATTCCTTCTGACATCACCAGGTACTTTTTTTGAAGCATTTGTACTACAGTGAAATTATATATTTTAATGGTGCCAGGTTATCACACTGTCTATTGTTGTTTTCTTTTGTGAATTTT